AGACTCTAAACTTGACCCAAATTTGCAAGGAGAATTTCTGGTGAGCAAATCTGGGGGTTCACTACCTCTACAAGTTCATAACTTTAGATTGCTTTGGTGTTTAGGGGAAATCTTTGTTAGGTACTGCTGTGTTAGGAAATAAAGTGACCGGGCAAAATTGAGCAAGATGTAGCGCAAGTATAATATCGATTTTTTTGAAGCTATTTTGGAGATGTTTGTGAATTGTATCACAAATAAGCAATTAGATTCTTAATATCAAAAGATGGCAAGTTAGAGCTAACGGCCATGCTAGTGAACTATTTATCTTACTTGCTTGTTTGACTATTTGGCCTTATGATGTGGAGTTTTTAGTTTAAGTATATTAATTAAACTGCTTGTAGTTATGGTGTGGGATTTTTAGTTGTAAAATAGTAAATATTGCTTTCTGGTAATGATTACGCTGAAAATTTAGGTTTTCATTGTTAACTATCCATTTTTTGTTTTGTAGAGCAATCAACCTTTTCATTGAATGTTGCGGGAAATAAGTTTGCTGAAGTGTTCCAACTAAAGCAAGAGCATTGTTCAGTTATTCCTGCAACCAAGTTTTCAGAAATAATGAGATCAAATGGTTTAGACGTAATTTCTAAATTTTATCTGTTATGTTATATGCTATGTACTTCGTCTGAATTGTTAGGAAACTTCTTAAACTCTTTATGAACCTTGATGGCTTTTTCTTTTTGCATACAGAATGTTCCAACCCAGTCACTTCTAAGCACCATCAACCGAATTCTTGATGAAAGCATTGAGAAAAGGAATGAAGATATTCCTCATGTATATTTCTGACTAAAATTTTGTGCCCAAGGATTATTTAATTGACACATTTAAGCATTTTGTTTTTCTTTTTTTATCTTTTTCCAATTTTCTAGATTATTAAAAAATCTAGATGTTGAAAACTACATATATATCCTGATATTTTATTAGTTGAGCATTCTGATAAGAATATTACATTTTAAAATTTCAGCGTGTAGCAAGTTTACTGAGAAAAGTTATGCAAGAGATTGAGCGTCGAATTTCTATGCAGGCAGAACACATTAGAAAGGTAAGATCATATTTATGATTAAGTCCCCATATCAAACCTGCTTATAGGCAATTTAATATTTTATTTTATTCTCAGCAAAATAATAATATCAAAGCACGTGAAGAGAAGTATAAATCAAGAATTAGGTTGTTTGAGACACTGGCAACTGGCACAACTGAAGAAATACAAGTACTAGTTTATGCCTTTTGTATATTGTGACATTATTTTATTGAGCTAAGTTATTGGAATTAATTTTTTTTTTTTAATTTGTGCCTTACATTGTAGATTGTGTCAAATCAACTCCAAATGATAAAGGTTTGTGCTTTCTCTACCATCATTGGATTAGAATTTAACATAATATCTTTGATTTTATTTACATCCATGACATGCTTGAACTTAATTTCACTTTGAAAAATGCCTCTCATCAGTTTTGTAAATTTCTATTCACAATACGTCATCCTTCTTTTATAAATTATAAGTTATTGTCTTAGAGAATTTCATGCAGCAACTAATTGACCATTACGATGTAGAGTTTAGACAGTTTTTCTAAGGTGATTAAATAACACCTTAACTCCTTACACTAAATATTGAAAGTGATTCATTGTTGCTATGTATGATTGCATCCACAAATTCGTTTCTTTGTTCTTTCCAAAATACATGTTGTTTGTCTAACTGGTTGATTGTTTCTAGGTTTTTGCTTAGTTGTTATCACTAGAAATTGATAATCAATTTAAGTGCTCACAATTTTTCTAAAAAATTCTCAATGTTAAACGGCTGTTATTTTCTAATATGTTTTTTAGTTAGTTATTCAAAACTGAATTTTGATACATTCTTGCTTGATTCTATTATATTTGTGATAAACTGCTTCTCTTGGACTCAGCTGATGAATTTAGCGTGTTAGTCCCTTGTGTGGGAAGTATTAGATGTAGCTGTAACCACGTGAACTGATCTTTCATTTTTATTTATGTTGTGTATATGGGCTGTTTGGTTTCCTGGAAAAATGGATGCAGTGTAAAATGAACGCATTGCTAAAGTAATATATTGTATTTGAAATATTTTAGAGTTGTTTGTTCGTTCTCAAATAAATGCAAAACTTTGACTATCTATATGGTTTGAAGAAAAGTAAATTCAATGTAAAAAAAACTCGTTAAGGTTGACGGCGGTGGGCTGTGGGCGGTGATGACATTCGGTGGGAAGCTATTGGCAGCTGGGACAGCAACAACAGGCAGGCGGCCGATGG